GCCTGTATGGATAATAAGGTTATTCCGTGCTGGACTTTTTACTTGCATTTATTGAACCTCTTGAGGTTTTCAACCTGCCTGTTTTTCTAGTCCTTGGATGTCCCTTGCATTGGCCACCCAGGGCCATTCCAAGGTACTGTTTCAGGGTATCATCTGCCTGCTCCAACCCCAGTTGGGTGTCACCAGCAACCTTGCTGAGTGTGCGTTCGGTCCCATTCCCCAGGTTCTCAGTAAAGACACTAACCAGTATCAGCTTCAGTTTTGACCTCTGAAGGACACCACTGGTGAGTGTCTGTCAGGTGGACTTTATACTGCTGGTCAAAACCCATAGAGCCTGGTGGCCCAGCTAGCAGTCCACCCACCAGGTAGCCCACTTCCTCAGGTCATGTCTCACCCAGTTCCGACAAGCTGCCAGGTTGGTCAAGTATGATATGCCTGTGGTGAATCTGCACTGTCTGTTCCCAGTTGCTTTTTTTTTTGGTGTGTGTGTGTGAATGATGTAGGTTCCAGGAGGATTAGTTACCCAGTCTTCAGAGGGACTGAAGTGAGACTGACTGGCAGATGTTTCTACAGATCCTCCTTTTCCTTCTTGTTTATAGCTTTTTTCCTAATCCTGAGGCGACAATCTGGACCACCATGAACTTTCAGAGATGATGGAGAATGACCCTGCAATAAAATCAGTCTGCTCCTTCAGCACCGCCAGATGCCTCCCATCTGGTGCCATGCAGTTGCACATGTCCAAGTGGCTTAGGAGATCCCCAACTCAATCTGTCTGTACTACATGTGAAGTTCCACTCCCACAGACTCTGCCTCTAGACTCTCATCTGGGACATGCAATAACAAAGGAGGCAAAAAAGACATCAAGTTACCTTAGCCTTTTCCACACCCGCTCTCACCAGGTCTGCTGCCCCACTGAGCAGTGGATCTGTGTTATCCTCAGCCTTTCCTTTGCTGGTATCCTTACAGATGCCTTTCTGGTTGCTGCTCTCGTTTCTTCCAAACTTGAACTTCAGGGTTCCCTGAGTACCTCCCCTCTACGTGCTCAGGAGATTTTTCCATATTCCTCCAAAGTATCTCTGCTTCTGCCTTCTGTGTATTCTGCACAAGTAGTGCAAGATGCCTCTCTGTGATGCTGCTTCCCTCACTTGGTCACACAGATCCTGGCCAGCAGCCCTCATTCCTTAAAGTGAGTCCTATGGCCTTAGAAGCCTGCCTTTGACACCAGCCGTGCAGCCAGGCGTTGACAGGCTGTGTGCACGCCTGCCTGAATCCTGCCCTCCCACTGGAGCGGCTGAGGAGAGCAGTATCTGGGCTGTACTCTGCACCACCCCACCACCCCCCACCCCCCCCGAGCTCTGCAATCAGGGCTCATGCTCATGATCACACCTGGCAGTATCATTGATTTGTACATGAATTGAATAGCCAAGGGGTGGTTGTCTAAGAGCTGAACTCGGGCAGACTCATGAGTCTTTCAGCAGCATCCCAGACAGTATAACTGTTCTGGGAATGCACGTTTCCTGGATTTGTCCCTTGCTCAGCCCCCATCTTGGGAGTCTCCATCCACTCACCCTTGAAATGCAATGCCTAGCTGTCTCTTCTTCCTTGCGTCGTGGGGCTCAGACCTGTGGCACTGCGAGGTCTCTGTGAAGAAGGTGTACCAGTCTGCCCACTTTGTCCTGTAGCCCCTTCCACTGAAGAAGCAGCACCTCAGGCAGAGCACCCCTCCCCTGGGTGAGGCCACCACCACCGCTCCAGCACCAGAGACAGGTACCTAGCATTTCTTACAGCCCGAGCCCTGGGGCGGTGGAACCCTCTTCCAGAGGTCGGTCTGGGTCAAGGCTCCAGTATGCTAAGAGCCATTGCTTCAGCAGAGTTTCTGGGCTCCTCTGCTTCACTGCTGTGCTGCCTGAATTCTGCTGGTAAGCAGACAGTGGAAGTGCTGTCACACGCTGTATTTTTACCACTGGTTTTAATTCATGGTACTGTAAACTGCCCAAGGGAGTGAGGGCCCTTATCTAAAGGTACAGGGAAGGCCCTTATTGATGGTACCTGGTGTGTGTTGAACTTTGCATTGCTGTCTCTTGATCACTTCCCTGAATCCTCAGATGATTCAAAAGGTTCACAGAGTGTCTCTTTGACATTTCACAGAACTCTCAAAGGAATTTTCTTGCATTAGAAGCAGATATAGTGCCAGCCGATGCATTTTAAAGCACTTGATATAGTTGGTATTTTTATGGAGAGAAAATCTAGATAACTGTTTTCCTCCTGGTGTCTTGCTAATTTGAGGACCCCTAAGCACTGTGCCCCTGTGTGTTTTACACTTTCTTTTATAGCCTAAGATCTCATGAGCCTGAGCTTCGAGAAGTCTGAGATTGTAAGAATTTTTTAGTTTTCTTTTAAAGCATGTTCTTTTTAATTAACATTCGTTTTCTTTAAGTATAAGCAGGGTGGTGGTATGACTTGATTCTTTGCCAGATCATTTCTATCATGTCCTGAACTACAGCAAAAGAAGAAACCTATTGTATGGAGAGTTTAAGTACAGTCGTGCCATGTCAGATGGGTTTAATCTGTATACAGTATTTGTTTCTGCCAGCAGTTGATAGCGTATATCTAGGGAAGAGAACAGGAGAAATTGTAATGCTACAACCGCGCTGTACTCTCCTAGCATGCGGTGACTTGAGGGTGGCAGCCAGGGACTGCCCTGAGGTAGGGGTGAGGGCTTGGTATTTAATAGCTGATGAATAGACTTGCAGCACTGGCAGCATACTGGGGCAGGCAGTTCCCCTGCATAACTACAGATTGTGGGGAATACCTCTTGGGTTTTTTTAACGTCTTGCTGCTAAATTCACTTGATTTCTGTCAATAAAAGAAGTAGAAGTAACAGGCAACAGTTGTTCTTTATTTACCATCTCCTTGCAGCTTTTGGTTTTATAGAACTGCCACTTGATTTAGGTTACATCTTTTCCAGCCAGGAAGAATGCTACTCTCTTCGCTTACATCTTATAATGAAGCTATTCCTTGTTGTCTTCATCCTTTTGCCCTTCTCACTTGTCCTTTCTAATCCTTCTGTATCCTTTTTGAAATAGCAAGGCTGGGTGTTCATACAGCGCTCAAGATGAGAAAGCAGATGCTGTGTAATGGCAGAGTGATGGTTTGGTTTCTGTTCTCCTCTTAGTTGTCTGTAACAAATTATTTTTCTTTCACTGCTGCTGATCACTGAGCTGATGGTTTTATAGAGCTTTATAGTGCAACTCCAAGATCCAGAGTTCAGTCCCATCCTATCCTGTCTATTTAAAACAAAACAAAAAACCAACCAAAAACCCCAAACGAACAACCCCTAGGATTTTTTTCTTAACATACCTTGCTTAATGTTTCATTGTGGTAATGTCATCTGCTACTTTATCATCAGGTTGTTAATTATAGATGCTTTTGCAGTTCTACATTTTATATAGTCATCCCGGTGTACCAAAACTATATAGACGCAAGCTGATACTATCCCAAACAAAACTCTTTCTTGGCATTTGATGCACACCTACGCAGGAAGCAGAGGAATATACACCTTTCTAGTCTTGTACAAGTGGAAGGCTACAGGCTCCTACCTTGCTATGCCATCCGAACCGATGCCACTTAAGCGTATAGGGATGCATGGAGACATGAATGTCTCTGCTGCCAATAAGAAATAAGCTTTAGATAGAAGAGGGATGTCATAGTATTTTCCCTTGGGGGGCGGGGGGGGGAGGGAGAGGAGGAATTATGATAATGAAATACTAAAGAAACTGTAGTCTTAATGATACAGGGTTTTTTATGAGGTTTTTGCATAATCATGGATTACAATTAAAGTTTTCTTTTTCCAATAAACTCTTCAGTTTAGGCTGAAAGCATGTAAGAGAAACTCTATATGTCAATTTTTCAACTCTAATGTATTTTTGAAGAGTCTTACTTACCATTTATTTTATAAGTTGGGAATATCTGCAATCCTGACTTTACCTAGTAAGCTATTCCCTCTGGGAAATACTCTGGGAATATTTTGTGTTGAAACACGTTAGCACTGGTGGGGAACCTGTTGGTGTGTAAAAAAAAAAAAAAAAAAAAAAAAAAAAAAAAAAAAAGGGGAGAGAGAGAAAATTATGTAAGTGAGCAAATCCAAAGCTGTTCTTGATTCTGCCCTACCCAGTAGTCACTCATGGAAATAAGCAGTCCTTGTAACAAAAATTGCTTGTAATTTGAGTAGGACAAAAGAGAATTTCAGAGGTTGCTATTCTAAAATTTTAATGTATGCATGTTGAAAAACGTTTACAAGTTTGCTCTATGATCAAGCATTAAACTATTAAAATCAATTTAAGCATCAAAATTATTAGTTGATACCTTTAACTTTGAACTGGTAAGTGATCACAGTGGCTTGAGTGTACTTTCTTCGCTTTGCTAGCTGTTTAACTTTACCAAAAGGGATGTCTAGTTTTGGTTTGCTGAGAGCAAAGTATTTGTCTCTGATGAAGGTGTAATGTGCCATTGGACTCCATGTAAAATACAGGCATCTGTTAGACTAGCAATCCTAGTGATGGGCCCAGAAAGTCAGCAAGTACTACATGGTGGGAGCATGAGGACTATTAGCCGTGGGCTTCACGCAGCACAGGTTGATACCTTGTGTCCTGAGATGTTCCTGGTTTTCATTCATTTAGCTTGTTATGATTTCCAGAGGGTCCAGAGAGTTCCTTTCGATATCTTGAGAAAATCATGAAACCCTCTTCTCCAGTGGCTCTGCAGAGCACTCTGGTCACTCATTTTAACATTTTGGGTGATGAATGTTAACATAGTAAAAGACTGGAGTAATGCTGCCTTAATTTCTCATTGGTGTGCGTAGAGCATTCATTTTGAGACATACGGTATTTGGTAATTAAATGAATGGTTACCTTTAGAACGTAGCTACAATTTCTGCTGTTAGCTGCTGTCCGTAGATAACTTTTTGTGACTTTTTTCCTTTTTCTTTTTTTTATTTCCAGATATAGAACGTGGTGTCTCAAACTGGATTAAAGAAACCTGTTGATATTTTTATTTATACTTTTTTATTTTTGTATTTGACTTAAAGTGCCATGAAAAAATTTGCATATTGCAAGGTGGTCCTTGCCACCTCTTTGGTTTGGGTCCTTCTGGATATGTTTCTATTGCTGTACTTCAGTGAATGCAACAAATGTGATGAGAAAAAAGAGCGAGGCCTGCCTGCTGGAGATGGTAAGTTTTCCACCTGAGTAATCTCTAAATCATGCTTGTTTAAAATTGCACTCCTTTTAAACATTTGATTTTTCTCTTTTTTTTTTTTTTTTTTTTTTTTTTTTTCCCCAACAATATAGCATTGCATCAGAATTTAGGTGTTGCAAGAAAGTTCAGCGTTTCTTTGAATGACCAGGGAATAAGCATGTTGCCAGAGATGTATGTTGCAGACTTAAACGCTTATTTTAAGATGTAGAATTTTAAGCACTAATGTATATGAAAAATAATAAAACTACGCAACAAGCGATTCAGGAATGTAAGCTATGTTAATATAGTGTAAAGCATAGTCTAAGTTTCCACCAGTGAGGAAGAAAAGGCACTGTTAACTTTACTAGACTTGGTAAAATTAAAAAAAACCAGCAACCAAGCTTACTTGTCTCCCTGCAAAAAAAAAACCAAAATAGCTGTCTTCCCCGGCCCCTCCCCCAAAAAACCCCCAAAACCCACCTAAGCTAAACTTGGCCACTGATTGTAGCAATAAGGGACACTGAATGTTGTAATGAAAATAAATTTACGAAAATAACAGAATAAACTTGGATAAATATTGACAAATACGTGTGTTTGTACATGTACACAACTTTTTCTTTGAAGTGGGAGCTGTATTCAGTACTAAGCTTTCATTTCATCACTGCCAGCTTAGTTTTTGGGTACCAGTTAGATGAGCTGAGTGTGGTTTATTGAAAGCTAGTACCATTCATGTTGCCAGCTTTATTTTAGGGAGGTCATCATAGTTGATCACCTGGGAGGAAGGGTTGGTGCAGGGAGAATTCTCAACCCTGCAGTGTCTCAGCACAGGCATTTAGAACTGCTGGCAGCTGCTGTCTCCAGTTCATTTGCAAAACATCTGATTTGGTAGCATGGTGTCTCTGCCACCAGAAAGACTGCATCTGTAGGTTTCACTGCTGCTTGTAGGAAATTTGTGCAGTGAAGCTCGATGTTAAGTCTGATCAGACAACTGTACTCAAGATTAATTAATGGTTTCCATCACAAAAAACTTTTTCACCTGTTGACATCTGGTATGGACAACTTTGACCTCCCTAGGAAATTTTCTGAAATGTTTTAAGAACAATGTTGCTCTGCTACAGAATAACACTGGGGAGATGTTTAGGAAATGTTAGTTTTGTTTTGTGTTGTTTTTCCCCATGATGAAAACAGGCCAATAAATTTCCACAGAGAACAGCAATGTGTAGGAATGCAGAATTTCTGTGCTTAGTAGCTCTGAACTGTTTTTTCCACAGCTGCATGCAAACATTTTAGGGAGGTTCTAGTTCACCTAAGTTTTGCAGAAGGGACTGAAATTTTCAATTGCTTGCCTTTCATCTTTTGTGTTTCTTTTTCAATAAGTCGAAAAGAAAGTGAAAAGAAAATGAATTAGGGTTATGTAGAAAGTTTGTCTTTTATAGGAGCTCAGTCTTTTCTCTCTCTTTTTTTTTTTTTTTTTTTTTTTTTTTTTTTTTTTTTTTTAGGGGGTTGGGCAATTTCCTTGAGGATAAGACGATGACTAATACTGTGGTGTTAAGGAATGGATCCACTTTTTGGATTCCCACAAAGTTTTTACATGATGCTAAGCAGATAACTTATGCCAGGCTGCTTTAGAGCCATCTTGCAAACAGAATTTTTTTTGTTGTGGGCAAACAGCAATTGAAGTCTCAGAATATATCAAACTTGTTTTGATATATTGATGGTGTTGAAAATTTGGATGACTTTACACAAAGTCATTGGGGGATCCTTCAGGTGAGGGAAAATCTGTAGTTTTTAAATATTAGTATTATGACTTTCCTTATGCAACATTAGCTTAACTTAGTTGAGTAGAGTCTTCATTCTGGCCTTTTCCTAACCTTTGTGTATGTTAAAATCCCTGATATCTTTTTAATATCTTATTGGCTTTTAAGCAGACAAACCAATCAACCTCAAACCAACCAAGCAAAACTTTGTGTATAGTTTGGTACATTTTTATTGGTTTTTTGAACAGCTGACTTGTAGTAAGGTATGTGCAGAAATATGTCTGATAGAAACCATGGTTGTGGTTGACCCTGTGATACTTCCTTTAAGCCTGGTTGCATGCCTGATCTTAGATATTCTTACTTGTTACAGTAGTTTACTGATTTGGAGTCTGTAGTGGATTTATGCCCACTCAGAATGCCTAGAATCTCCCCAGATAACATTGAGGCTATTTTTTCTGTGAAGCTTTTATCAAAATCTGCTCTTTCACTCCACTTTTCCCCCCCTATTCATTTCCATAATTGATTTAGTTTTCTTGATTCAGCATAAATTATGTAAGTCTTCTGAATTTAATAGTCTCTTCATCCATGTGACTCTGGTATATAGCTTCTCTTTGCAATTCGTGGAAGAATTCCATGTCATTTAATGAACCTACTTGTCATGTGAGTAAGTTTTTCTGAAGAATTTGTAAGTTTATTTTAGGCTGTGCTTGCCTAGTTGGAAACATTAGTCTTTAGAAAAATGCCTAGTTGGAAAAATTAGTCTTTAGGATTTTGAGGATAATTTTGGACAGTTCAGGCTTTCGTGAAGTTAGAAGGATGTCTTAGGTTTTTAATACAGAAAATGGAGGGAATTTCTTTTTCAGAATGAGACTTAGAGCCATGGTCTAAACTGCCTTTGGGAAAAACTTTCTCCTTGGTATTGATGGCACAAGATACTAGGATCTTAAATCATGAGCTTCAGCTTGTGTGTCTAATACTGGATTGTATGTATACTGCTGTTATATTTTACAAATTGCTCAAAATAAGAAATAATAAAGGAATGTGAATCTGTGGAAAAAAAAAATATCTGTACATGATACAGTACAGGAACTGGAAGATGAGTGGGATAAAGGTCTTTGTGTCTGCTATCATAGGGATTGAGGGTTGGTAGTTTAAATGATGTGCATGTGCAGATGAGGAGACAAAAATTGGAAAAGGTGCAGGCACGTACCAGGCTGTAAGTAGGAGAGCTGGGGTGGAGATGTTTGGGAAAAGGGGGCCTGGCATGGTGTCTGGGTAGTACAGGACTGGGGTGAACTAAAGCGATACCAGAGGAGGGATAGCTGGAATCTAGTGACTCTAATTGTGTGGGATGACTTGGCCGTAGCGTTAAGCCTTTGCCCACTCCCTCGACCATGACAGAAGACCACAGTAGTAGCTTCAGGAGGTAGCCTGGGGAAGTGGGATCAGAACACACAGCAGTGTTGATTCCAGCATCCATCCGTGGGAGCTGGGTGGGAGCCAGTGGATGTCCTGGTGGCTGCTGCTGCTCTTTCTTCACCCCACCATGACTACTCCAGAGAGGGGGGAGTAGGTCAGGGGGAAGCTCTCTCCAGCGCCTAGCTCTGAGGGTGTCTCAGCTATTCTGAGCTACCCAGCTGACCTGGATGGCGTACACCTCTTGCCCAAAATGTCCCAGCTGATCTTTCTATTGGCACATCTTCTGGGTAGTGGTTCCCTTTTGGTAATTACTGATGGTTCATCAGTCAAATTCACAAAGAGTAGCTGATGATGGAAGGTCATTGCTGTAAGTTTAAAGATTTTTATGAGCTGGAAAGAAAATCACTGAACCTTAGTAAGCATCATCTGTGTAATATAGTAGTTTTTTCCAAACATGAAATTTCATAGGGTATCTAGTTGAACACTGTTGTTTCCAGATGGGGATTCGGCATTGCAATGTAGACTTCACAGCCTAGAATAGAACTTGGATAAGTGTAAACAAGTTCTAACTTAAAGAGTTCATGCTGTTCTCCAGCAATACAAAAAGGGACCGTTCCTGTAAACAGAAAATGTCCAGGTAGTACTGTGGTTTTACTAATAAAGAGGGGGTTTTGTGTGTAGCTCTTATTTCTGTAAGAATCCTGTATGTCAGCTCTGAGGTCGACTTAAATGAAGATCAGATGAGTCCTTCCGTACCTCCAGTTGTAGGCTTCTTAAAGGTATGACTGCAAAGGAACTTCCAGATTTAGCACTTGATGCAGTTTCTAAATAAACTTCCAAAGTCATCCTTTTTCCCTCTTTTTCCCCTCAAGGGGCATTCCACTTGTGTAATAATTAGAAGCCCTGCAAAAAAAAAAAAAATTAAAAATTCTTCAGACCTAGGATTGGTTTTGCAAGAGTCTTGGGATCTCAGCTACTTGCTATTTACAATCTTTTCTTGGGGCAATGACAAATTTAAACTAGGACCAGTCATTTTTGTCAAGTGCCAATCATGGCCTTGTGTTCTGAATTTTGAGCTCATTGGTAAAGATGGAATATCTAAGTTGTGACTCAATTCTGAGTATTCTCATCTGCATAAAAAAATACTAAGAAAAGTGAGCAAGTTCAATATATCAAACAGATTTAATTCTTGAAAATAGGAACTGTTCATCATAAATCAGGCTGAGGTGTATGTAAGAGACAAAACTTCTCTGAACTTTCTCACCTGTCAAAGCAGGTGGTTCCCCCAAAGGTGACTGGACTTGGTGTTTCAGTCAGTTTTACCATTGTGGTGGCCCCTGAAGACATGTGAGGGAAGAATCCATCCTGCTTTCTGGCTTTAGATGGTCTTAGATTTTCAAGTATCTGTTTTTCATCAGGCATGTTGCCTGGTAAAAGGAATTTGTAGTCCATAGTCCATAAAGAGTTTCTGACTTTTAATGAAGATCTGGAAGAGATCGAGCCCTGTTTGAAACTAATGGTTTACTGATGCAAATGAGAAATATCTGAAAAAACATTACTAGGTTTCCAGTATGGTCAGGTGATCATTAAGTCATTCGTTTAGCTCTGAAAGTGTATCTGTAAATTAAATTACTGTTTGTTAGAAGCATGTCATCAGTACATGCCTACAGTCCTTCAGAGGAAATATTTTTTCATAGTTAACTGACAAAAGAGCACTGCAGCTTGAATTTTTAATAATGTGTATTAGTCATTTTGGGAGAATGTTGTTGGTTTGTGTTGATATGAATACTCCATGCTTTTGTGGGAAAACAGGTTCCTGTAAATGCAGAAACCTGAGAGAAAGTGGTTGACTCTTCTTAGAAGGTCATCTCTCTACTTGCACACCAAGCTTGCCTGTCTGTGCCTTTAGTGAGTTCCATAAAATATCTGTGGATCTAGTTAGCTGTTGCAGGATTTTTCTGCAGAAGAGAGTACTTTATTTAGATAGAATGTGTAATCAAGTACTATATATTTGCTGATGAAATTTAAAAACTCAACTGATTAATTTGTGGAATTTGTACACCTGGATCCAGCTCACTGATGTGCTAAACTAGTATCTAACAGCAAGATCTGCAGATGCAAAAGATGAGTTTCCAGTTAATTTAGCTGTTCAGTTTAAGTGATTTAGTCAAAGTTAAGAAGCAACTGGAAGTATGAATGAAACAGGAAATTATTTTTTCTTCTAAATAGCAAATATGGTAGGATAAGATATTCGGTCTTATCAGAGAATGCTGGAAAACATGGTGAATAATTATTTAACATAACTATATTCTGATGGCTTTTGTTCAATCATTTTAGGAATGTTGAACACTCATCATTTAATAATTTTCTGTCCAAGTGAACCTTTATTCTAATTGCTATACACTTAATTAAAATAGTTATAGCCTACATAATAAAACAAAGCTGAATATATAAAACTAAGCCTAAATAATTGCCTTATTGTATACCATACTTTTATGATGATTACCCCCCCAAGAGGCACAAATTCTAGTTTAAAAGGTTATGCAATTGCAAATCAGAAAGTTTTGATGTGGGTTCTACCGTATTTTCTTAGGAGGCAAAGATGCAAAGCAAACTGCTTGCTCATTTTACCCCATGGTGAAAACAAGCACGTAAATCAGTCAGCTCTGGATCTGCTTGGACATACTGATTCTGTGAGTGGCTGGCTGGCAACTTCTAGTATTGTATAGCTCAACTTCCAGTCAAGGGGAGTTTGGTGAAAAGAAAGCATCTCTGTGGTGGGAGGATTTTCTCTGCTAAGTGTTACTGCGTTAATGCAACTAGTGCAGTTGCTTCAGGTACTTGAAAATGAAAGTTTCTCAAGGAACACAGTGTGTTTGTAACCGATTAATGCTAAATGCAAACTAGCAAAACGTTTCGCTTATTAGTAAGTATATATTTTAAGTCTTAGTGTTTCAGCAAGGATTGAAGGCTTGGGCTTTTTTTTATTTTATTTTTATTCTTTACATGACTATTTGCTCTTAATTATACAGTGCTGTGCTAGATGGAAATTAAAGATAATTTGAAGCTAGGCTTATTACTGAGGGCTTTGGTGCCTTTCTTTTAAAATACTTTCTGTTCCTCTGTTTAGACCTTAAGCTACTATTTTTTTAAATTAAAATTTGTACTGAATTTGTAAAACAGTAATATATTTAAAATTCAGTATTCGAACATTTAAAGCATTTCAGTTCAGGAGAAAAGTAAATGGGTATTTGTAAAGAAAATGTAATGTGGTTTATTTAATGTTTTGGTTTTTCACTTCTTTTGTTTAAAAAACCCAAATAATTCATGAGTCTGGATTCCTTTTCTCCTCCCCTCTCTCCCTCATCAGTTTGATCAGATATTTGATATTTAAGACTTCTTTGGTTTAAACATGTCAGGTTTTTGTTTTGAGTGCTAATGTAAAGTCCAAAATGTAATTAGGTTGATTAAAAATAATGTTAGTAAAACCAAGAGAAATTATTTCTAAACTGAAAATGCCAATGTCATTCTGTCAAAATAAAAATGTGGAAATAAATGTAAAGTTACAGTTTTACTTTAATATTTAGTAAAATTGCTGTAAAGGAAAATTCAACTTTGCCTGAAAAGCTTGTGTGTGCAAGAACAATCTGGGATAAAAATACCTCTTGTTCCAGAACTTTAACAGTAAAGTCAGTTAGGATGTGGTGATGGATGGGTATAAACGCTTACTATTTTTTTCAGATGAATTGTGATGTCTAAGAGTAGCACTTAACTACTTCTGTTAAATTCCCGAATATGAAGATTTGTTTTTACTTCCAAAACCTGGTGGGTTTAGAACTCTGTTTTAAACAGGAACACTCCTACAGTGTAAAATAAAGTATAAACAAACAAAAGCAAGCATAAAAGTAGTTACCAATATTTTATTTATTCTTAGTTCCAGAACCCATACAAAAGCCACATGAAGGACCTGGAGAGATGGGGAAGCCTGTGGTCATTCCGAAAGAGGAGCAAGAAAAAATGAAAGAAATGTTTAAAATAAATCAATTTAATTTAATGGCAAGTGAAATGATTGCACTCAACAGATCTTTACCTGATGTCAGGTTAGAAGGGTAAGTGCTATATGTTGTATTAAAAATGTACTCTACTTAAATGAAGAATGTGCAGTGTGATCCAAAACAAGAGTTCAGTTCTGTAAGATATTACTGTTGAAGTGAAAAGTAGGAGGATTTCCTGTATATATGGTACTTGCTTATAAAGTAAGATTGAGCAGCAGAAACCAGTTTTCTTCAGAGTTACTTAACTTGCAATCTAATTACAAGTATGAAGCCTGTACAGGGAATAGAAATTAATTTGGTTGAAGGAAAACAAAGTTAACTTAAGACTTGTCATTTCAGGAAAAAAATTACTTATTTGAAAACTTCATGCACTGCTTGTAATGAGGCAGACTAAAATTCTGCATTATATAAAATAGAAAAGATCTGATGATGAAAAAGAAATAATTTAAAAATTTCTTACCTCATGAAATGTGCAAAGCCTCATTTAGATTACATTATAATGTTTTCTAATATTCATCTGGTTTGTTTTTGATCTTGCCTCTGATATATTGATCCTTTCAGAGCTATTTGAGCCGTAAGTAACTAAAAAGAAAATTGTATCCTTGTTTTAAATAAAATTAAGATTGCTTTACTCTCCTGGGGCTAGTCTGGCAGGGTAGCTGATGGCTGCCCCACAACCACTCTTGTTTGTGCAAGGAACTCTCAAGTTAAAGCTCACGAACCAAGATTTTTCCCGATCAATTATCTGCATTCTCATGCAAGAATCAAATGCTACAGAAACCCCATTTCTTTAGAAGCCCTGCTGTTGCTTCTGTATACACAAAGCCTAGCTGCTGGATTAATTTGTTTTCATTTCCTACCTCAGAAGATAATATCAGCAGAATGACATGAAGCACTGACTGCGTTTCATTTTTAATGAGTAATAAAGGGCTGGTTTGTAGATACCTTCATCTGTTGTAATGAATGTGATTCTGTGTAGCCTGTGAGTTCCTAGTAGTGCTGGTGTTCTTAAAAAATTGAGCCATATATTTTTCAAAATATGATTTCATAAGTTTGAATTAATGTAACTTTTCAATGGATTTTCAGATATATTATTAGTCAGCTTTTACGGTCACTACTTGCCTGTTTTGCAGTGTAGTGGAAGAATGCAAATCATGAACTTGCAGGGTTTTCTTTCAAAACTGACAGATGTTGTTTGAGGGGTGCTGGTGGTGGTTTAGATCCTTTTCCCTCATGTTATCACTCTGATTGTGGTTGTAACCTGGTAATGGAACCATGCAGATTTGTATGTAGTATCTGTCCTTTTTATCTCACACTCTATAGGATCAGAAATTGCCTCACTGTAAAGTGGTGACTTCCACCAGGGAAGAACTTAGAGTTGACATTCTCAACTTATTTTTAGCTGTGAGGAAAATCATGAGTTTCATTGGAGATTTTTGTCAAAGATGGGATGCTAATTTGGGGGGATTTCTATATGTTTTTCTGGAGAGCTGGATGGAAGGAATTAACAAAACTTTGGGGAAATGATAGTTACAACAGTTGGTTATTTGGAAGGTAAACATGAGTAATTTTTCATTATGACCCTGAAGTATGGAAGAAACTAAGTAACATCATCTGTTTCTCAGCATTTGCATTGGAAAACTTGCATGTGTATAGACATTTTTATAGTGTAAGTACAAAGATAAGGAAAAAAAAATGTGTATCTAAAAAGCTGACTTAATCATAAGCTTTGTGAAGTCTAGACTTTGAATTAACCAAAAGTGGAAAGAAAAATTGTTGTAAACTATTAAAAATTCATTACATAAGCATCACTCAAGCTTTTGTAGAAAAATGAAATTGTAATTTTAAGATCAAGTTGAGCTATAGGAATTTTTTGGCTTGCACACTTGGCCGTGCTCCGCAGTTTTTGTGTTGCGTGGTAGGGTATGCATTATAAATTTAGCCATGTTTCATTTGTTTCTGTTTTCCATTTGTATGAATACAAATACTGTCACTGCACAATGTGTGTGCAAATCGCATCTTAGAATAAAAATTTAGGTAAGTTCTCAGGGCAGAATTGGATTCTCTGTTTTTGTAAATTGCAGCCAAATTTAATATTTATTTGCTGTATGCATTTTTAGTAGATTTTGAGAGAGAAATGGCCCCCAAAAAGCTCCTCCTTTTGTCATCTTTTCAGTATGTACTCTATATGGTCACATTCATTAAGAAATTGGGGAGTGTGTTAACATTTTACCAGCAAATTTGAGAACAATATTGTGTTTGCAATGCAAGAGTATCTTAAATCTGTATGTGTGGATTAATATTACTTTCCAAGAACACTGTAGCCATTTTCAGAATTGTAAAAACTATAAATATTCTCCAGTGTCATATGTATGTCTTATGAAAGTATTTACCTGATTAGTCAAAATACTCGTGTGATCAGAAACACTTTCTGCAGTGTTAGTGATCAGAAGCACTTTCTGCAGTGTTAGTGGAGTTGCTTCTGTTATAACTTGTTCTATCCATATCCCTGCTAATATGGAAACAATTTGGGGAGAAGGAGAATGGGTAATTTCTAATCATTCCTTACCACACTTGTGTGCTTGCAGCACAGCTGCCAGTAGCACTTTCAATCAAGGTTTTGAAAAAGCAGGATATGTTCAAAGGCACACTTAGCTGTTCAACCGTGTAATTATTTTCTTCACAGGTTTTGTGGGTTGCTTCCTTTAATGTGTGGGGGAAAAGCTGTGACTATTTCAAGTCATATAATTCTCTGACATGTCAGTTCTTACGAAGTCCAGAAGCCTGTAAAAGTTTTTGCTAATGGTTAATCATTCAAAAGCTGGTGGAATTAGGTGTGCCAGGACCAATTTGCCACATGTATTTAACGGGGGTGGCATAACCTGTGAGCTGGAGAGCAGCTTTTGAAGTAGTCCACGCTATCCTTCACGTTAATTTCTGGTTCTGCCCAAACCCTGTCACCTGTGCAAAGGCAAGCACGTTGTGTACCCTCAAGGTCCTTGTGGTCCTCGCGGCAGCGAATACCTTCATGGGTTACGTGATCCATCTCGCATGTCTGCCTCCGGGTGCTCATAGGTTGTTCTCTACAGATGACCCACTCAGGGCATCATGTTTATGTTTTGGCCAAGAAATCTTGTTTCCTTACTAAAAGAACAAAAATGTGAGCTGCTTTAATAACTTCTAGGGACTTCTCCAGTGCAGGGAACTCCTCGGTATGAGACCTCTACAGCACTTGAAATCTGTCTTCTGCTGAGCTGTGCCCCAGCTGTATTGACAGGTTTATATTTATTTTTATTATTTGGCAGAAAATTACTGAGGTACATATATGACAATGATTTTAAAGGTATCTGCCTGAATTGCTAGTCATTTTGTGTCTGCAAGCGGGAAACATTATTCTACTTATTCTTCTTGTTGTCCCAACTAAATGATTTGCTTAACAGAAAAAACTAAACCAGAAGTATTTTTTTTAACCTGGATACTTCCCCGAATCTGGACTGGGGCATGTTGGTGTAACTAATAAACCGACAGTACCACAAGCTCTGGAGGGATGTTGCTGCAGGGGAACAAGCAGCTTGGTTTTAAGTCATTAATAGAATAATTCTTGTAAGCACATCTTATTCTGGTCTGTGAATCAGTCATCAAAGTGGGAGTTGATTCACAGTTGCCACGAAAATATGCAGCTGTGGGCTTGACATGACAGCAAAGAGTAAAAGATGGGTGATTAGGAACACTAGAATCTTGTCTTAATTTTGCCGAGGATGAGGGAGACAATAAATAAAATAGGTGTCAATGACTAAAATAGGTGTTCAGCTGTGCTTATGTGTCTTAGACCGGTATTCGGGCTGGAAAGTGGTGTGGCTAAATGCATGAAATTTGTGTGTGTCATATGACTTGGTTTTGCTCTCAATGCCGTTTGAGGTGACTTGGAAGCTGCTTTGTAAAATGAAGAATGAGTACTGTGTTCTAGGGCTGGGTTTTCTGGGCTGCAGTCATTATTTAATAATTTGGGGAATTTATAAAACATTTAAGGAGCCATTTGGGTCCCTGGTGTGAGAGTTAAAACCAAATCCTGACTTTTTTTATGCTAGAAAAGAGCATCTTAAAACACTCTTCCAGGCACAAGCGGTCAAGGCTGGAAACAGTAGAGGCGTAGCTGGGACAGAATCATGTCGTACATATAAGCTATGGTCCCGACCGCTGCTCATGAGGCAGCGCTAGGAGGGTGTCATACTTTGCAGGTTAAGATTTCTTGGAAGGGTGATGGCCTTCCCCAAGCAGACCTGCAGCAAGGCAGCGTGTGGATAGCTTTGAGATACCTTAGTGACCTTTTCTCTAAGGCTGCAGGTTCTATAGAACTTGGCATAAAAGATCTTCCTTGTCATTTTGTTCCTTAGTTGGTATAATTTTGTCAGAATTAAGGGTATCGGACATCTTACTATACCTCAGTTAGTTCCGCATAACATTTGGGATCTTTTACCTGCCTTTTGCTCAAACTGTCTGTATTCAGGAGGTAGGTATGCTGGGTTTTGAGTGGTATAAATAGTGTTAGGGTATAATCAGAGTTTTTAGCCAGATTGCTCTACATATTGAGTGAACTGGGTCTAAATTCATATGAGCTATAGCTTCAGCCACTGAATAGAAAAATAAAATGCAGATCTCTAAGACCTTAATGTTTAACTAGTACAGTAACATGGTCAGTTTAATTTATTATTGAAGGCTTTTTTGCCAAATCAAACTACCCTGCTCAGTTCCTGCTGCCAAGCTTACTTTCACAGTTGGGAGGAAGTAGACAACTTTTTTTTTTTTTCTGGCCATTCTGCTAAGTCTGCCTTACGTGAACTTTGTGAAGTTTATAGTAATTATGCTGGGCTACTTAGAGTAAGGCCTTCATATGACTAATTCTGTCATCTCTTTGCTTAGAAAGAGCTGTATTTAGATTTAAGCTTTGGATTTAGGCACTGGTAATTATATGATACAATATAATGATTTTCAGTTATGGGACTGCAGTCTGGTTTTCATACGTGTGCTTTAAAAATGTATTGCTGATTTTAAGC